ATTTAATACAAGGGAATTTCCGCTGATTATTTTCTTTTGTAAAGCTCATATCAGTGAGCCAATCGAGTGTTTGGAATTTAACGTGGAATTAATTGTGTGTGTGTACTCACCTATTTGTGCTTGCGGGGGTTGAGCTTTGGCTCTTTAGTCCCGCCTCTAAACATGTTAACGTATATATATAACGTAGAAATAGAATTGGTCTCAGCACCGATCCTTGAGGTACTCCACTCGTTTCAGTTCGCCAGTGCGACTTCTCGCCCCTTACCGTAGCTCTCTGGCTCCTGCCTGTTAGGTAGTTCCTTAATTTCTCTATACTAGGGCCTTTCCGCTTACTCCCGCCTGCCTCTTAAGTTTGAATAGCAGTCTCATGTGCGGTACTGTATCAAAGGCCTTTTGACAGTCTAGAAATATGCAGTCTGCCCAACCATCTCTGTCCTGCCTTATCCTTGTTATTTTATCATAGAATTCCAAAAGGTTTGTTAGGCATGATTTCCCTTTCCAGAACCCATGTTGATGTTTGTTCACAAACCTAACGTTCTCCAGGTGTACAACCAGTCTTAGCCTAATTATTCTTTCAAGTATTATGTAGGGGATGCTTGTCAGTGATACGGGTCTGTAGTTAAGTGCCTTTTCCCAGTCTCCTTTTTTGAAAATCGGTACGACATTTGCCTCCTTCCAGCAACTGGGCAATTCTCCCGACATAAGTGACTCATTAAAGATCATTGCCAGAGGCACGCTGAGGGCCTGTGCTGCCTCTTTTAGTATCCACGGTGATACTTTGTCTGGTCCAACTGCTTTAGTTGCATCCAGTGTTGTCAACTGTTTCATTACCTCCTCTGCTGTCACCTCTATATCTGATAGTCTTCCGTCTAGGGTAATCTCTTCTAACAATGGGAGCTGCTCAGGCTCGGTTGTGAACTAGCATTCAGTGCCTCACAGAGTTCCTTGTCACTTTCTGTATATATATCCCCTCTGTTTTCCTTAGTCTTGTCACTTTGTCATTTGCCAACATTTGTCTTCTTATATGGCTGTGTAGTAATTTAGGTTGCTTTTTCGCTTTGATCGCAATATTGTTCTCATAATTTTTTTCCAATACTCATCTTATGTTAATGTAATCGTTCCTAGCTCTGTTGCATCTGATCCTGTTGTCCTCTGTCCTTTGTCTTCTGTACTTCCTCCATTCCCTCCTGCTTCTCATTTTTGCTTCCTGACACTGCCTATTAAACCATGGGTTATTATATTCCCTCTTACTTTTTTCCTTTACTGTTGGTATAAATTTTTCTTCGGCCACCTGGCATTTCCGTATGACCAGGTCCATCATATCTTGGACTGTTTTTCCTCTAATTTCTTCCTCCCACTGCACTTCTACCAGATAGTCCCTTATCCTTCGGTAGTCACCTTTCCTGTAGTCAACTCTCCTTTCCCAGACCCCTTGTCCCTTGGTCAGAAATTTGAGTTCCATCATATAGTCAAAGACTAGGACACAAGGGTCACTGGCCCCTAGAGGTATTTCATGTTCTAAATTGTCAATGTCTTCTACGTTCTGGGTGAAAATCAGGTCTAATAGGCTCGGTGTATCCCCTCCTCTTTCCCTTGTGTCTTCCTTCACATGTTTTGTTAGGAAATTCCTGTCTATAATGTCTACTGACTTCGCTCCCCACGTTTCCTCCTCGCCATGGGGATTCTTTGTTTCCCAATTTATCTCTCCGTGATTTAGGTCCCCCATGACCAGCAGTTTCGCTCTCATTCTATGTGCTATTGTTGCTGCCTTCTGCAGTTCATCTATACATGCCTTGTTGCTGTCATCATACTCTTGCCTGGGCCTTCTACATTTTGGTGTGGGATTGTTGACTATCAAGATCACAATCTTCTTCCTATCCGCTGTCAGAGTTCCATGTATGGAGCTTGTGCTTTCATTGGTATCCCGATTTTCCAGGTCATCATTTATTTTAGTTTCCACTATAGCAACTATGTCTGCATCTGCCTCACTCTTTCTTTTATCTCTTCTGCTTTATTGGATACCCCATCAGCATTGGTGTACAAAACCTTGAGACTCTTCTTGGAAACTCTGGTGCCAGAGTTCACCCTTTCTCTGGAGATCTGGGGTGTCTGGGGGTCAAATGGGGGCTGGGGAGTGGTGCATGGGGTGGGTTGCTGGTGGGGGTGCATGGGGTGGGGTGCTGGGGGGGTGCCTTGGGTGCCTGGGAGGTGAATGGGGGGTCTGGACATCTAAGGGGTAGGAAGGGCATAGTGGGTCTGAAAATTAGGGAGGGTCTGAATGGGATAGGGGGGTTGAGAAGTAGAGTGAGGCTGAGAGTCAGATAGAGGTTGAGAGGTTGGCGGGGGGGGGGGGGAGGATAGTGGGGGGCAGAGAGCTGAGGGGAGAATGGAGCATGGGTGATGGGAGTGGAAGAGAGGGTGTATTAGTCAGGTGGGAATCAGGGGTAGGTGGGGGTTTTGGGATAAAAGAAGGAAAGAGGGAGATGGGGGAAGGTGTTAGGGGGTCACAAGGTGAGGGGGTTATATGGGAGATGGGGGTGCAGAGGAAGGATGAATATTGGGTGGGGTTTGGGGGTAAGGGGAAGAGGAGGGGCAGTGGGAGCTGGGATGGAGCAGATGGAATTGAAGGCAATAGGGTAGAAAGGGCAGGGGAGTTGGAGGGGGTAGTAAGGAAGGAAATGTGGGAAGGTGGGTTTGGGGAGGGTATGGCTTGGCCCGATATGGTCATTGAAGGGTGCGATGTAGCAGGTTGAGCTGAGCGCAAGTGTGGAAGGGGTAGGGGAGTTGTTGGGGGTTGAAGCAGAGGGGAGGTATAGGAAGGCAGAGTTGGGGAGGGTGTGACTTCGGAGGCTAGGGTTTCGGTGTCGTGCAGGCCATTTCGCCTTGCGGGCTATTTGTTCATCTTTCGTCATATTCTTCTCAATAAACATATTGTAATGGGCTTCACTGCCTCTGAGTAAATGTTTGTTCTACATTATGTAATCCACTGCCTGTTCGTTAGAGAATTGTACCAGAACAGGTCTATTCTTGGTACAATTGTAAGGTCTAAACTGGCGGCTGAGTTCCACCTTGTTTCCTGCCATCTCAGCCCTAATACATCTCAATATCTCAGGCAATTCATATTTTTCCATTTCAATCCTTTCTTGTCTTGATGTTGTCCTAGATTTGAATAATTCGTCGAGTATAATTGACTGCCCTTTTCAGTGATTCACTCTCATATTGGTAGCCCCTCCCCTGGATACCCCCATCCCTCCTGCACTCACTAATCCATCCCCCACTAATCCACTGTCCCTAACCATGGTGTTAATCCTTCCTAATTCATTCTCCTATTCTTCCCTGCTCTTCCTAATTTCTTCCTTAATATAGAGCATAAGCTCTTGCTCCTGTCTCTCAACCTCGTCCTGTATTTGTTGAAATATCTCATTTTAATCCCTTGGACAAGATCCTCCATTCAAATGCTCCTCCTCTACAACTTTCCCTATTAGCTTGTCTACAAATCTATTGTTCTCTTACCTGCTGGTGCTTGATCGTGGGGCCCTTCCTGATTTCGTCATTGCAATAAACAACCTAACCAACAGGTGCTCCAATTACCTTGCACGATCTGCTACAGAAAAGGCGAGCAAGTACTCCACGAAGTGCGTCAGATAAGATTGTTGCAACCAGTGTGAGGTCCCAGTCTGTCATAGATTGAGGTTGGTGAGGTCACGGCCACCGCGAGGTCTGCTCCACTGTTTCACAATGCCGCAATGTGTTCAACACCTATTATCAATGGTGTTATTGTTACTTTCTTTCTTCACTTTCTTGTGGTTTGAGTCAGTTTGCTAGTTATTCATTCACTCATATACACTTTTTCACTTCAATGTAACTTGATTATCCCTCCCAATTCACTAGTAGCCCAAATGCTTCCCAGACCCACTTCTGTCCACCACGGCTGACTGACCATGACTGTCAGTGTGTGTGTGTGTGTGTGTGTGTGTGTGTGTGTGTGTGTGTGTGTGAATTGACCAAGAGGTGTTTACAGGGTTGAGCTATAGCTCCCTAAGCCTGCCTTCCTCATCTCATGGGCAGCAAATGTGATGGTTTTCATTCATTCTGTTTCTCATCATATTTCGTTTGGAGGCTGTTTATCTCCACGATCTCCGCTTGAAGCCTGTCTGGTTCCACCCACCTGGCGTCTCTGCAGTTCCACCCACCTGGCGTCTCTGCAGTTCCACCCACCTGGCGTCTCTGCAGTTCCACCCACCTGGCGTCTCTGCAGTTCCACCCACCTGGCGTCTCTGCAGTTCCACCCACCTGGCGTCTCTGCAGTTCCACCCACCTGGCGTCTCTGCAGTTCCACCCACCTGGCGTCTCTGCAGTTCCACCCACCTGGTATCATTCTGGTTCAGTTCCATCATCAGCTCCCACCCCGGGCGCTCTAGTCCTGTCCTGTTCATTCTCAACACTGCCTCTTGTTCATCTTAATTCTCCTTAATATCTTATACGTTGTTATCATATCCCCTCCTAATTCGCCTCTCTTTCAACATAGAGGGTTTGAGTACCCACAGCCCTCCACACCAGCTGAGTGCCCACAGCCCTCCACACCAGCTGAGTGCCCACAGCCCTCCACACCAGCTGAGTGCCCACAGCCCTCCACACCAGCTGAGTGCCCACAGCCCTCCACACCAGCTGAGTGCCCACAGCCCTCCACACCAGCTGAGTGCCCACAGCCCTCCACACCAGCTGAGTGCCCACAGCCCTCCACACCAGCTGAGTGCCCACAGCCCTCCACACCAGCTGAGTGCCCACAGCCCTCCACACCAGCTGAGTGCCCACAGCCCTCCACACCAGCTGAGTGCCCACAGCCCTCCACACCAGCTGAGTGCCCACAGCTCTCCACACCAGCTGAGTGCCCACAGCCCTCCACACCAGCTGAGTGCCCACAGCCCTCCACACCAGCTGAGTGCCCACAGCCCTCCACACCAGCTGAGTGCCCACAGCTCTCCACACCAGCTGAGTGC